AGATACTAGCCCATAAACAATCCCGAATACCTCAACAATGATTGTTGCTTCAATATCAGCAGAAGACAGTAGCTGGCAAGTGCAGTCATTTGTTAATGAGAACACAGCATATGTAGTTGAGGCTACAGATAGGCTGATTATGAAATGTACTTGTTTCAATTTTGAAAGAAGACAAAAAACATGCAAGCATATGCATTTGTTAAAAATGCACACTGCCTTTTCTTTGCACTTTTCAACCACTCCTTTAAACCCTACCTATGAACACAATGTCATCCCAATCTCTCAACCTATCACCACAAACAATTGTTCCTCCCTTTTCCTTGATCAGTGCATTCAAACAAATCAAACACTGCATCAATCGCATCAAGACCTTGCCACATTAGCATAGTATACAACAGACGGCAAAGCAAAGCATATATATGACATACAGCAGCAATTACTTCGTTTCATTCAATCCTTAAAAGATAAATATGAAGTACATTTTCGTCAATCAAATAATCAATAAAAATATAATTATTTCTTTTTTTTTTAAAAAAAAAACCTTCTGTAAATTGAAACAATTTTCAAAGTAACTTAGTAAATTATGAAAGTTCTTATTTTCTGGTATGTAAGCCTCATTTTTGGTTAAATATTTATGACATACCAGGAAATATAGACTTTCTATTTATTAAAGAATGGAGTTATAAATTAATCCATAACAGGCAGGAGGTGAAAAAGTGGGTAGGTGAAAAACACGCACCTGGACGACCTCCTGAGTGGACCCCCATTGAACTTCCACAAGCACCTCTTTTTTTCCTATATTGTATACTTAATGTTTTATGGGTGTATATAAACGTTTTAAATTTCAGATCAATTATATAGACTTTAGCCAATTGGTTATTCTTTCTTTATCTATAGTATGGTTACTCATCTTAACAGAGAATCCTCGGAGAGCAAGCGCAGCTTGTATATATTTAAAGTATAAAGTTCTTAGCTATACCCATTTGTGGTATTTCAGGTATGAAACAATAGAAAAATAAAATATTTGATAATAGAGACGTACAGAAATACTTTGAGACTGTATCTAAGTTGTCTTTATTCATAAATAAAAAGTGTCCCTTTTTATAAGAAAACACAATCTGCTCTTGTCATTACGTCTTAGTTTCTTAAGGCTTTCTTCCTTTACTATATTTGGTTATTAGAGTGTATTTACTGCTTAACTAGTGTCGGTGTTACAATTATGACATCAAGTCATAAATCGTACTTCTTTAGCTCTTAGCTATTCTTTTCTCTTTTACACTAGAGCTTTAGGACTTCCTACTAAATTAGCTTCATATCGATCTGACACAGTTTACCCGGCAGTATGATATAATTATCTTAACAATCTTTAAGATATTATCTACAGTACCAACTGTAATAATTATTGGGCTGATTACTTAATCGTTTATATATATTTTATACTGACAAGATGATAGCTGCTACGCTATCCCAATATGAATATGTTCTTATATGTGATAAATCCAACATCTGAGTGTCTGGATCACCATACCATTGACTAGTAATTGTTTGTTGATTATGAGAACAATTTTCTTGAATTAGAAATTCATTCTCTGAAGTCCAAGCATTCTTTTGTGTAAGTAGAATTTTCAAACAAATGATTTTGATTTAAGCAAAAGGTGCCTTTAGTCCAGATAAGCCAAGTGTAAAAAATAAAATTAAAAGTAAAATGTGCTTTAATATATATATATATATATATATTACCAAGTTACCAGATTATTTTCTGATTCTTCTTTTTAGTTTTTATTTGTCTCACAAAGTATATAATCTGCTTTTTTTGTAAACCACTGTTAATTGTTTGACTTTCAGTTTTGCGTTCCTTCTTTTCTTTTAATACCTTGTAAACAATTATAAATAATTGAAATATATTGAAACTGACAAAGAACTATAGGTTAAATAAATTTTATGGGATTGTTTCAATATCAAAGTAATACAGTACTCATCTTGTTCAGTACTATGATCTATTAAATTAAATATATATTCTAGTTTAGCTTTAATACTATAGTGTATTTTTATTAAAATCAGGAATTTTAGGATTTGTGTCAATTTTTTCATTTAAAACACCGATAACAAAAACCAGTATTAAATTTCCGCTAGTTTTTGAAAAAAGCTGAAATATTGAAACTTATACATAGGCACAGCATTTTATATTATAAATTATAAATTTTTATTTTTTTTTATTTTTTTTAATCATGGATACCAATGCTGCGGTGAGATTTACTGATTCTTGAGATGAATTTCTTCACCTCAGCATCAGCATCCTTAGCATCCAAAAACTTGCTGTAAGCTTCAATATATCTCCAAGTTTTTTTTATAAAATCTCCTGATCATGGAAGAAGAACCAGCCACAGGAGAGGCACTGTCCAAGAAAGACGGGAGATTCTTTTCTAATGACTTAAAAGAATAATCGCAGTTTAGGTGAGCCACACATTTGGCTGCACCCCAGTAACACTCGATCCAATTGCATTCACAATGGAACTTGGGGTACAGCTCAAATATGTGACCTGCCTCTTCCACCACCTCTTGAATAGCTGTCTTCTGTCCAGAAAAGTCGGGCTGAGAGTCCAAGAGGTGGCGGGCACAGCAACAGTGGTTCTCTGCTTCTTCTCCATTGCAGTTCATTCTCTATCTTCTAGAAAGATTGGATGGATCCAGTTCCATCCACAGTCCACACTCCTGAAGGATCCGCTGGATGCCAACAAACTGTCTCTTCTCCACTGGCCCCTTTCCTTTCCTTCCAGCTTCAAAGACTGTCTCATAAAACGATTGAGGGATGATACGTCTATCCCTCAAAAACGTTGTATCTTTGAAAATGAACTTGTCATTTTCAGAAACGACCTTTGGCTTTAGAACCATGCAGGTGGCAACCAAGGCATCTGTGGCATATGCTTTGTGGTTGCTGCTTTGGTTGAAAATAAAGACACCGGTGCACCCCTCATGCAAGCTTTCGAACAGAGGGATAGCATGGTTCTTCAGCTGGTCAAGCATGTCTTTGCTTGTCCAGTAACTGTCATATGCTACCCCAACGTTAAATATTCTGCAGGAGACCCATCCCTTCACTCACATAGTGCCATTGTTGTGGTGGTTGAAGTTGAAGAAGTTTTTAAGAGGAAGAATTGAAGATTTTAGATTAGGAACGAAGATTCGGGAGAACTTGTGTAGGTTTTGTTTATTGAGAAAGGATTTTGTATCAAAGTTTGACCAGGTTCCTACACTGAACTACTACTGCTATTTATATTATTTTGGATCAGAAAAATTATATGACTGGGGTCAGGTAATTGATCCTATCTGAGCCTTAATCAGAGCAACGTGATCTTGAGATAATTAATGTATGATTAATTATATAAATGTGTGTAGTCCCAATAAAGTATTAATATCGAAAGTAAATGTGTTTATGAGTTGTAATTATGCTTATAATAATTCACTGATGTATCACATATTATGGTGATATCATCATATGAAATATAATCACTATCATGCATGCTAAACCTGTGTGTTAAATAATAAAGTAATTGGTAGACACCTTTGACTGGAATAGCTGAGGCCTTATATTATTTCCTTCAGACTTATTCTCAATTACATCAGTAGTCAATACTCATCTACAACAGCCATGACAAGCACACTGGAACTCGCTGACCATCAGAGATCTTCCCTGACCTTTTTTGCGGATGTGGCTTTCACCTTCTTCAAGCCACATGTCCACCTTTTCATCATGGGCATAAAAGGTGGACTCGTCATGGGTCACCATAACCAGCTTCTTCTGGTTCTCCAAAAGAAGAGGGGTCATCTCAATTTCTTCATCTTCCCCAGTAAAGTCTGACAGACATTGTTTGTATCCTATCATTCGCATTGCCCAAGCATGGCAATACTGAATAAGGTCTTGTCTTTCATGTCCATCATAATATACGTCCTGGTTGTTCTTGCGGTGGACGTACCCCCAAGCTCTCATGCATTTCCATGCTGTGCTTATGGCCACGTTGTCTTTTACACCAAGGCATGATGGAAAAAGCATTTCATTGAGATACTTTTTCAAATCCACAACAGTTCGTCTTTCTGCTTTTTGAGTACGAAGCCAAACGATTACTTTCTTTTTAAGGTCTTCATCGTCTACAATTGAAGACTGCTTGGCATGCTTGCCCTGTTGATGTTCAGAAATTTTGCCAAACTGAAGAAATTCTTTGACCCAACCGCAGACAGCCTCTTCACGGTACTTGGAAGGTGTTGTCCAAAAAATCTCTGCTGCTTTTTCAGATGCCTCAATTTTCTTGCAATTGTTCAAGAGGCGTCAGAAATACTCTTTCACAGCAATGTGTTTTCTTACTTCAAACAAAGCAAACTTGCCCAACTCGCTATCTGAACTGACTGGAGGCTTTATCATCTCAGAGATTTTCTCATAAGCTTCACAAATCTCTTCAAGTTTCTCATCTTTCAATTGCTTGTATACAGTTAATGCTTCTGTTATAGGCGAAACTGGTGCAACAGGAACTGAGAAACCGAAATCAGCAAGCGTTCTGACCTTCTTGTCTTTATTTGCCTCAAGCTCTTCTTTCATTTTTCTCTTGTTGCGCATAATTGATGATCTCGAGTCTCCTCTGTAGAGTCCACACAATTTTTTTTCTGCGTCTGGTCTCCATGTCAGAAAGCTATTATAGTACGCAGCAATCATTGTATCCGTATCTAAATCCAAGAGCTCCCAGTCGTACTCTTCTACAGGTTGATCTTCAACAGGTTCCTTTTCTCCAGCTTCCTTTTCTGCATCAATAGTAATAATTGAAGACTTGGCGCAGAATTTTCCACCCTCTCTTTGAGCCATTTTAGAAGTAAGGATAGAGTGAGTGTTTTTACAACCCATTTTTAAGAATTTATTTTGGTAAAAGTAAAAGAAGTGTTTTCAGGGCAGTCTTGATAGACAGCTGTCACATCCAAAAACGTGGTTTATACTCCGCATGTTACACGTAATTACTAATTTAGGATATATAATTCTCTACATCTACCTTGAGATGCTATCAGAGATGTAGATTCAAGTCTCAATATTTCTCTTCCCCTGCTATTAAATTGGAACACCGCACTTTTTCAAAAGTCAAAAACTTTGTTGGAAATGTCACTACAAACAAGCTGCTCACACAGTTCTTTTCAGAAATACATGGCTCTTCCCGTTAAAGACTCGGACCCCCCTCAGGGGTCCAACTCCACAATAGGTCGACCCAACGCTAATCCCATAGCTACTAATCCACCACTACCATCATATGCTCAAACCGCATCCACCAAACCCACTCAGGTCGCATCCATCCTGTTTTCCACCCTCCCTGCCTCGCCCTCTCATGTTTGGCATGAAAGCACCACATCCCACTCTATTTTCTTCAACCCCCCAGTTGGCACTCCCCAAGAAGATGCTTTCTAGGACTCACTTCTCGGCTCTGTCCCCGCCAACAAGATTATTGGTGTGTCTTTCCCATCCAAACAATCTACAATGCATGAGATGCATCTTACCGACTCTACTACATGTCTGGACATTTGCTCCAAAGGCTTCCTGGTCAATGATGAACGGTTTTTCCCTTCCCAAGGAATATCTACTGGTACCAAAACTCTTCACCTCTACCTCACAAATCTCCCCTTCCTCCCTTGTCAAGACCTTGAACAACTCATTAAGGACAGCCTTGCCAAGTATGGTATTATCCACGAAATTGGCATCTATCTTCGTCGCAGTTGCTTTGATAGCACTGGATACGCCTACATCGAACGACCCCCAACACCCACAACATCGCTTCTCCCCTTATCGTACAAGATCCCCACCTCCGACTCCACCCATTTCCTGGCTACATGGACACGCATGGGTTCTCACTGCATGTATTGCCATGCCATGAGCCACAACATCGAAGCCTGTCCTATCCGCCCCCAAGACTCCCGCAAATGTTTTACCTGCCATGAAACCGGTCACCTTCAAAACACATGTCCACAAACACCTGCTACAGAATCCAGACTGTCCAAACGCTCCCGGAAACTACCTAGGACTATTTTGTCTGCCCAAGACCCAAAGACCCACCCACCACCTCCCCCAGCCCCACACCCTGACTCTGCATCCCAATCTAAGACAGAAAAACCTCTGACAACGTCCCTCTCCAAGACAACCCAACCAAAGCGCACCTACGCTACACGCGCATCCCCTGGCGTAGAAACCGCCAATCCTTTCGTGGTACTCGCTGAAATCTTCAAGGCAGCCGAATCTCACGTGGCTCAAACTCAGGAGAAATCTGACACCAACCCCGCCAATCCCCCGTCCACTCCTCTTTACCACAACCTGCAGACTGCCTTAATCCCAGAGGGCTCCGGTTCCAGTCCCACCATCCTTGACAAAGAATTTCACGAAAGCACCTTCAGTGATGCTGACAGCACCCCCTCCTCCAACAACGAAATGGAGGATACCACTACTCCCCAATTATGGTTAACATTGCCACTCTGAACTGTTGAGGGCTTGTCAAATCTGGCAACTCTCAAACTCGATCCCATTTTATACACTACCTTTGCTCACTCACCCTAGATATCCTAGCCTTGCAGGAAACCCATGCCCACACAGAAGACCTCCAACAAACGTTCACCCTACAATTTCAAGCCAAAGATTCCTTGTGGTCTCCCCACTGCGGACTGGCTTCCCTGTCGCCTTTTTTATCCTTCACTGATCCCCTTTTCTCTTTGTGTGGCTGATGCATCACAGCCACTGTTGTTCACCCCTCCAATTTGTTCTCTCCTTTTTGTGTTTGTGTTCTGTATGCACCGGCCACCGTCCACCCTCGCTATGACTTCCTTACATCTCTTCTGTCTTCCCCCAACCTGGTCCCTTCTAAACCTTCTCAATTCCTAATGCTTGGGGATTTCAACTACGCCTCCCGCGCTGCAGCCCCCAGGGCCCGTTTAGCTCTGAAGCCTTGGCTACAGTTCGTGTTGAATACTCTTGTCGATTGCATTACCCCCTCGCTCTTGGCACCAATGCCCACCTTCCACCGTGACATGTCCTCATCCACCATTGATTACATCTACGCCTCTACCGACCTTGCTCATTGTTATGGCTCTTCCACAGTCACTTACATGCAGCCACTATGGACTGATCATTGCCTTGTCCAGACTTGTCTTCGCTTTCCCACCCTCTCCAACATTGGCAAAGGCCTGTGGTGTGCCAATCCGCGTCTAGCTCACAATCCATCCTTCTGTTCCGCCCTCTCTTGTTGTCTGACCTCTTTTGTCCCAACTCTCCCCTATAACTCCTCCCCACAAATCCAATGGGATCTCCTCAAACAGGAAGTGGCTCGTTTCACTCACTCTTTCTCTCACAAATCCCACCTCTCCCTCACTACACTGGAAGTCAAGTTGCAAAGTAAACGTGACCACCTGATTCACAGATTTCGCCACCAACCCTCCCAGAACTTCCAACTTCCCATTGTCAAACATCAAATCCAACAAATCCAACAGGAACGCATCGAAATTCTCACACTTCGAGCTGGGAGACACTGGTGCAAACAAGGTGAAACTTTGGCTGGTTTTCTGAAATGTACTATCACCAACTGTTAAGCCCACACGACCATCACCAGTCTTCGACACCCCACTACGGATACACTCTCCACCTCCAAAGAGGACCTCACCGACGCTGCCACAACCTTTTACCAGGACCTATACACCTCCGACGCTCCTTCACAAACTGTAATTGACGACCTACTCACCCATCTACCACCCTCCCTTCATCTGTCTGAGACTACCTCTGCCTCTCTACTTCTATCTCTCGCACTCTCTGACATTCAAGCTGGGGCTAGCTGTGCCCCCAATTCCAGCAGCCCTGGTCCTGATGGACTCCCATACAAGATACTACGATTGATCATGGCACATCCAGCCTGCGCACAGTTGACCCTTCGAGTCTACAACGATGGTCTTGCTCTTGGCGTGTTCCCCCAGTCCTGGCTATTCACCAGCGTCTACCTCCTCCCCAAGAAAGGTGATCTCGCCTCCCTTCGAAATTGGCGGCCTATTGCACTCATCAACACTGATGCTAAAGCCTTCACTTGTCTCATCAACAACCGCATGATGCTGGCCGCCTCTTCCCTTATCTCTCCCTTCCAGACCGGTTTTGTCCAGGGCTGCTTTATTGCAGACAACGGGATGCTTGCTAAACTAGTCATGTCTCAGGCTAAACAAGACGACTCTGCTGGTGTAGGCTTACTTTTGGATCAAGAGAAGGCGTACAACCGAGTACACCCTGACTATCTTCATCAAACTCTTCTCCATTTTAACTTTTCCCGTTCTCTTGTCACTTGCATCTCTCAGCTTTTCTTCTCAACCCAGATCCAGATCAATGTCAATGGCCACCTGACCAGACCATTCACCCAAGCTCGCGGACTCTGGCAGGGCGACCCCTTATCACCAGTGTTGTTCAACCTTGCATTCGAACCTCTGCTGCGTCGCATCATCCACGACCCCTCTTTCCAAGGCTTCTCTCTGGCTTCTATCCCCTCCCTGGTACCCCCACCCACTGTCAAACTTCTGGCCTATGCGGACGACCTCCTTGCTTTTCTTCCCGACGCCAATCACCTCCACCACCTCCATCATCATCTCATCACCTACTCGCATGCCTCTAATGCTCGTATCAACCTCCACAAAACTGAAGCTTTTTCTCTGTCTGGTCGCCCCCTCCCAGATTGGCCTCCACTTCTTCACCGATTCGACATCACTGCCTGGTCCAACCAATCCTCTCCCATTCCTCTATGCTACCTGGGCTTCCCCCTGATACAATTGCTGCCACAACAAACCTCCTTTTGCGAGATGTTGCTGTCCAAAATTGAGACAGGATGCCACATCCACCACTCTAGGTCCCTCTTCATCTGTGGATGGGCTACCGTTCTCAACACTCTGGTTCTCTCGAAACTGTGGCATGTCTTATGAGTTACCACAGTACCCATGTCGTTCTTCCATCATCTCCGCTCCATAATGAGTAAATTCCTCCAGTATCATACCTTTCCTCCCATATCTCTTGCCACACTCTGCCAACCTCTCAGTCGCAGCGGCCTAGGAATCCTCGATCCTCAAGTCCAGCAAGCCGCCCTACAACTGCATTGGCTTTGTTGTCGGATCCTTTCCCCCCAGCGACCATCTGGTTTGGTTCCTCCCTGGTTTTCCTTTTTACTTCGCCTTCACTCTCACTCTGAACATCCACTTCTTCCTCTTCTTTTCCCACCCCTCCACTCACCCCATCAACGGGATTATAACTCTCCATTACATACTATTTTTGCTGCAATTGACATTCTTCCACACGACTTCACAGCCGTTACTGTCAACCTACCTACCTGTCTCTCTCTTCCTCTCTCAGCCGTGTCTTTAGTCCCCCCCCCCCCCCCCCCCAACTGTCCCACCTTCCCATCCACTTGGTGAGATCTCCGGGTATCTGATGCTTACAAGGTGGATTGCCGCCACGCAGTTCTTGCACCACGCCCCCTCCATCGCATCCCCCATTGACCGATAGTCCTCCATTGCTTCTTTGAAAGGATTTACACTTGCTCACTCCTCATACATCTTCTTCTTCACCGAGCAATGATCCCCGCCAACATCCTTGCCATCTGCTATCCTTCCCTCACCTTGCCCACTGGTTCGTCCATTGATGTCCAACCTTTTCTTGATGGACTTGTCCCTGGCTCTGCTTGGCCACTGCTCGCCCTCAAGGATTTCCGTTCCCTATGCAAATTCCACCCTAGTCCCACTCGTTCCATTGTCCCCACTATCTCTTCCCGCTCTCTTCATCGCTGGTGGTCGATCCCCCTCCCCCACAGCGCACGCAACGTGTGGTACTGCACTTGGCATAAGAAGATACCCTGCCGTTCTCACCTACACTTCCAAATACCACTGGCTTTCCCTGACCCCACTTGCGCCATGTGCTCTGGGGACTTGGATTTGCAAACTCACTTTCTGTTCGACTGCCCTGCCAAGCTTGCGGTCTGGTCTTCCATCTGGACCACTTTGTTCGCCTTTCCCATCACTTCTGACTCAATTCACTCTTGTTTCTACCTCCTCAACTTCCCGCCCTCCAAGGACACTACTCTCTCATCCGCCTCCATCTTCGGGTGCACACTACTGGCTATATGGCAACACCACTGGCTCTTTGTATTTGATCAAGTTCCTTTTATCCCATCTGCCACCTTGTCTACCACTCATATCCTCCTTAACCGACTCCGGAACGAGATCGCTCTTGACCATGGGTCAATTTAGTTTCTGTCCCCCTCCCATACTACTTTCACATATAAAACAAAATCACAAAAACAATTAGAAAATTAGAAAACCCAAAAACAAGCTGTGACCACCTTTATTACTTAGTAGTGTAAAGCTTCACCCAATAAAACAGAGCCTTTGGCTCCTTAAAAATCTTTTCAGAAACACTTTCTCTGTGTCCATGAGCGACGGTTTTTTTGTATTGACATTTCCAACAAAGTTTTTGCCTTTTGAAAAAAATATTGGAGTCCAATAATTCTTCCTGATTATAAGAAAAATACACTATATGTTTGGAAAAAGTACTATTATTAAATATTCAATATACATATTTGTGTGTGTTTTCAATGTTTTTTTAAAAAAATAAGTAATATATATATTATAGTAATATAACCCAATACGATGTCATCCAAACCAAATTCATTTAATCTTTTGTTTTGTGTTCAAAAGAAAAAAAACCATTAGCTGTGTATATAGAACTACTATCAGTATTCAAAGATTGTAGGATAAAGATGTACAAATATCAGATATTGACTTTACAACAATTCGAGTGTTTGAAAGTAGTTTTTATGTAAGTAAATATCCAGTAGTCTAACAAAAAACTACCTGTACCACACATGATATTGATATTTCTATCATTATCATTATTCCTATTAATTTCTTATTCTTGAGAAATTATCCAACCTATTAATGTTTTTTTTTTTCATTAATAAATTAATAGATTAATAAATTACTTTTAGAGAGTGACATATGCTTATCTCTGTCGAGCTTTAAGAAATTACATAGAAAATTAAGTATCGTCTACGAAAGATTACTGCAACACAACCAAGAATATAGTCAATCTTCATTCACCGTCAACTTCATAATGCCAAAAATAGTGTTGACTCCGAGAGCAAATCGATGCTTTTTCTCAGAGATCAAAACCCAAGCGTGTTAAAGTGATGTGCGGATATTCAACACGTCAAAGCAAAAAAAAAAAAAAAAAAAAAAAAAAACTTAATCTTTGTTCCCTTGGTTACTTGGTTACTTGGTTACAAAACGAGAAGCAGTATCAATATATATATAAGAGCTATAGCGCATTATAGACATCACTAAAAAAAACAAAAAACAAAAAACAAAAAAAAACAAAAAAAAAACTCCAACTGTAAGTTCGATTGCCGCGTTCCACGATTGGACTTAATATGGAAGGAGCTTTGTACACCCATCCTCAATATCTGAATTGCAACCTTGGTGTGTCCCTGTCTCTTTCGCGCGGCTCATTGCAGACAAACCAAATGGATATTCCAAACACCACACTTCCTTCTATACCGATTGTCGGTCATGAACTACACAAAGATCAAAGTGACCAAACCCTAAGGCAGTGCAACCCAAACAAGACAACCACCTTATCATCCTACCCCTCGGCCGACGATGCTGATGTGGACGCAGAAGGCTCTTCTGTTTATACGGATAGCTCAGAGGCATACGAATCATCAGACTCATTAGAAGAAGATGAATACTGTGCTGCAGTCGATGCATTCGATCACCCAGAAAAATCCCAATTTGAAGATCATATTGGCTGCATTGTTCAGGTCAAAACAGATGATGAGTTTGACGATGACACCACCGACTCTGAATATAATGAGGAAAAAAAGCGCATGTCACAATTCATCGGCCAACCAGCTAAAGCGTATTTGAATCTCGGGAAACAAAACGGTAAGAATTAACCATAAATGTAGGCCTGTCCCTTTCGCCCGCTTTCCCTTTCTCTTTCTCTCTCTACATACATACATACATATATATATATAATATATAATGTATAAATGTACATAAAAATAAATCATAAAGATAAATACCTTCCCCTGATAAAAAAAAGTAATCCTTTTATTTATTTTTTGAGTGCAGACAAAGAATCAATCGACAGTATTAGCAGTAGTTCCAATTCCACCTTAAATCTTGATACCCCAGTAAACCAAATTAGCCACCAGAGTCTTATTACTGACGATACATTTATGGTTCGATCACTGCATTCAAATGCCTTTGATATCATAGAAGAAGAAGACGAAGAAATGTCTGTGAAAATGAATCAGGATAGCAAAGCCAATACTCTTCGTTCAACATCTTCGTCAGTATCCTCCTCTGATGATAGGTCTGATTTTTATTTTAATATATCGATGGCTACAAACAGAAGTGACTCAGCTGATACTGCTGCCACCACACCCCCTGGATCACCTCATGCTAAGAGCAGTATTCCATCCGAAGACTACCGTGCCTGCTCTCCTCAATCAACCAACGTACCTGACATACCCTCTGTAATTATTCAGCCAAGCAGTGTAGACTCAAGTTCATCTTCAAGTTCAAGCGCTGTATCTTATTTGAATGACATACAGCCGGACAATACACCAGTTCAGCAAGCTATGAAGATTCAACCCAAACCTGGAAACTTTTCTCTCTTCAAGTCTGCAAGTACCCCGGTATTTACCAATCTTCCAAAGCTCACTAGAAATGCTACCATGACTACCACTACTACCATAACCAACAATACCACCAATACCACTACAACTGATTCAATCTGGGCTACAGAGACAAATGACTCGTGTTCCCCAGAAAAGTCTCAAACTCCACGAAACTCATCTTCTATAAGCAGTCGGCGAAACAGCAATAGTAGTGTCGCCACTGAACCTAGTATACCCACCACACGTAGCATATTTGGCTTCTGGTCCTCTTTCAAAAGTTCATCTGCACGCAGTCTATCCCAATCAAGCATGTCATCTTTAATATCTACAAACTCTACATCCTCCGTCATACCAAAGCCTACACTTACACCATCTTCGTCATTATCATCATCGCAATCCCCATCACAAGCAAAACAGACCCCATTACCAACACCAACATTAAAAATTTCCAAGGCCCCCATCCAACGTCCCTCTCAATCATATGCAATCCGCCAGCAAAAGCGCATGTCACGTCCACAAAGTATTGCCCAACATCCTGGGCACTCGGAGCTGTTATTGGCTCAAATGGAACAGCTCAATAGTGCCAATGTAAACGATCCAAAGGCTCAAATAATTCTCAATCTCAAAAGACAAACTATCCGCAAGAGTCTCTCTCTCCACAATAAGGGCGATGATTATGATTGGGGTATGTAGTATATGCTTTGCTTATATTAATTTATTCTCAATTATTTTATTTCTTTATATATGTATATATGTATATATAAACACATGGATTTTGGCAGACTTTTGGGCGTTTGCGATATGTGATTTTGAGCAGGCCTCAAAGAACCAGCCGTTACTAATCAGTAATGTTCGACGTGGTATTCCTCCTTCACTTCGAGGCATGGTCTGGCAATTACTAGCCGAGACAAAGGAACTTGATCTTGAAACACAGTATATGAATCTTCTCAAGAAGTCAAGCCCTTATGAAAAGATGATTCAGCGTGATCTGGCCCGCACCTTTCCAGGCCATACCTTCTTCAAAGAACGTGATGGTCTTGGTCAGGAAGGGCTTTATAATGTTGTGCGTGCCTATAGTATGTATGACCAAGAAGTTGGATACTGTCAAGGCCTTGCATTTATTGTTGGACCTCTGCTACTCAACGTAAGTATCTGAAAGCAAGTATAGCTGCTAATGTATTATTAACTTCATTTTTATCTATTTTACGCTACAGATGCCAGATGAAGAAGCATTTTCTGTTCTTGTTCAGTTAATGAGTAAACACAGTCTACGTGGTCATTTTACTCCAGACATGGAAGGGTTACACATGAGATTATTTCAGTTCGAGGCACTTGTTGCGGAGCACCTGCCTCATGTGTCACGCCATCTCGAGCAACAGGGTGTAGGATCGACCATGTATGCCTCTCAGTGGTTTATGACACTTTTTGCCTACAAGTTCCCGCTCAATTTGGTTTACCGGATATATGACGTTTTGTTAGCAGAAGGCATTGTGTCGATATTTAAATTTTCAATTGCTCTTTTGAAGCATAATCAAGCCGTCATTCTCGGCCTAGACTTTGAACATCTTTTGGACTTTTTGAAGAACGGATTATTTGAGAAATACAAGGTTAGTACACAACGCTTTTTTAACGCTGTAATATTTATATATATATATATAAATTCCTTTATAGGATGATGATCGTCGCCTTGTGGATGATGCGGGTGTACTCGAGATTCCTAGTCGAAGATTGGCTCAGTTGGAAAAGGATCACAAGACTCAATCTGTCAAAGAAGCCGCAAATGCCAGAGTTCTGGAGGAACTCCAGCGAACTAACACTGCGCTTAGAAAACAGACCAGAGAACTAGAATTAGAAGCGGCCAAGTATCAGCAGGATGACATTGAGATAAAGAGACAATTGGATGACAGCAAAGATAATCTGACTGCCCTAAAGGAAGAAGAGGGCACTCTGAAGTCTCTGGTAGTTTCTCTCAAAGAAGAGATCAAGGCTTTGCCGTCCAAGGTTGAGTCGAGATCGACAAGCGAATTTGAAGGGTTGTGTGAACAGAATGCGTCCTTGGTACAGAGAAACTCTGTTCTCGAGGACGAGTTGTCCAACGCGGAGCTTACCCTTATTGATATGAAGATGCGATACGCAGAAAGCGAGAATGAACGAGAAGAGCTCCAGAGACGATTATATGAGATGAAGAAGTTGCTAGGAGTATAAACGGTCAATCGGACCTGTTTTTTTTTATATTCTTCTTCTATTATCTTATGGGCATATATATTTGTCATGTTTTTTTTTGGATTTAATTTTTTGATTTTATTTATTTATTTATTTATTTTGTATTTTATTCGTTTGACTTTATCATAGTCATTATTTCTTGTCTCTTCTCTATAAGACTTTAACGTTTAATTAATTTAACAGCTAAATAAATAATACGCAAAAGAAGAAGAACCTTTTGTTATGTTGTAGTATTCAATTATTTTAATTCTTATAAATATAAGGACTTTTACTTAGATATCTACAAAAGTGTAAGACGTATGAAGCAGCACATCTTCACACACGCACACGCACACGCACACGTACTTAAAAATTAAATCACTCTAGCTGTATTTTTATATTTATACATTTTAGCACAGCCAGGTTTGGCATTGGCCTGATGCTTGGTAAATTAAAAATAAAAAAAAGTCAAACCAACTTACACAGTATGTACAGTATTTTATTTTAAATAACAATGTCCACCCCCACTTTTGTACTATTTTCTATATACGTACATTATCAGCTGAATAACATATGCATTTGCTTTAATATAAAAAAAGCATCTACTTATATATATGATGTGTATGTTTGGCTCAATAAACAAAATCTTGCGATTAAAAGTGGGATGATTACGGATACATCTTGCTTTTACTGATAAATGTTATAACAAAGATTAAATAGTGGAATAAATTGCTATAAATGTAAATAAATTAATGCACAGTTAAGACATGTTGAGAGTAAAAAAGAATTTACAGGCAAAACTTTCTTTAATAAGCGGTTAATGTGCTTACTTAAACAAGCGTATGAAGTACATGATAAAAAAAAGGAAAGTGTCCACTGGAAAGTACATAGCTTATTAAATATCGAAAACAATCAATTTGTGTTTCAACAACTGTAGCCAATCCATCATTGTATCTATTCATGAGACTCTAATAAAACTGCACTAACGTATGACATAGAAAGACTATATAGTAAGACGGCTATTACTCGCCAAGAACTTTAGAACCAAGATATTATTACAGTCTGTACTTGCAATAAAGCCTTGACACTGCTACAGATAACTTTTTAATAATAAATACTGTGCAGCTACAGCTGAAATATGTAACTTTTAAAGAAATGTACAAATCTAAAGAGCTGCTGATATTCCAAGAGAATAAGTAACTTTTATGTTTATCTTTCTTCTTTTAATTTTCATTTTGCAAAGGTACATTATACACAGAGGTGTATAAGATTAGTGCTTAGGATACAAGTGGTTTGACCATTTCACATAGTCTAAAAAAATCAAAATGAACAAGTATATATACATATAATCTTTTGTAGGGTTATACTTTGTTCTTAATTAATTAATTAGTTAATAGGAAGACTTTTTGGTTTACGTTTTTCAAATATAAAATAAAATAAAAAATTCATTCGAATGTACAAATATATTGGAACATTATGGTTTAAACTAAAGTACATTAACTAACGAATTATATCGACCAGTACCAAGGTTAGTTATTATGAACTTGGCGAATATCACGTTTTCTAATGCATACTGTCAGCAAAAGAAAGAAGAAGAAAAAAGTTTCCGAGAGCTTTCTTGAGAGCCGTGGACTATTTTTGAATAGAACTTAAATATGCCGTATTCTTCATTGGATTTAACAGCTTCCTGATATTGTTTTTCAAACCACTCTGTAAACATTCGATCAGATTGAAATATGGAACCTATACACGTTGTCTAGGTCAGATATTTTGCCCTTAATCTATCTCAATACTATACACACAATTCGTACTCCAATTAATCCGAGAGTCTTAAATATATATGCAGTAAAAGTATAATGGTTAGTCTATTTGTTTTCTTGGTTTTATTGTGTTTCAAGATAATGTACTTGTCTATGAAACCCCAAATACATTGCAATATCGATAATACTAAATTTATATGCTATGAAAAAGAAATAAGTAAAGGGTGTGTGTCAATTGAATTCAAACTTGAGCCTTATCATGAGCAAAACAATAAAGAAAATACTTGATATTTTGAGGCAAAAATAGATAGTAGAGAGGGTGACTACCTATTCATTTTTGAAGATTACCATTTTTATCGAATATCTGAGCTTTAACTACAAAACTTGAATCACAGAAACCCCTATTCAAATTTGAATTATGAGAAACGTACAAATATGGAGTTCTGTTTTATAATACAAATAGTGCTTAAATAGACAGTACTATTTTTAGCCTCTTCAAAATTGGGTTGGAAAATTACATCTTTTCCTTCAAAATCGAGCTCATTTATGAATAACTGCCATTCACCAGCGTACGAGGGAATTGTCGAGGGAATTGCATCGAGGGAATTGAGCCACATCATATACGATTCCGATTGTTATTCAGAATTTGTCTTTTAAATATTTACTAAAATACCCTGCCCATTTTTATTTTTTTGTTAATTATTTGTTTCATTTTGGTTATATAAAATGAGCTTTTTAAAGTATGGTCGTTTAGTATATTTCTTTTTGTAACCAGAGTCCTTATTTTAGAAAATTTGTCAATTCCCTCGACAATTACATGGTCAAAAACACCATGTAATTGTCGAGGGAATTGACAAATATATCCATTCGGAATCGAATAAATTACTATGAAAAGTAACTTTTCTTTCAATTCCCTCGATGCAACACTGTGGTAAATGGCAGCATTTATAACTCCGTGCTCGTAGAAATGTCGGGGAAGATTTTTGAACCAATAGAATTACTGAAAATAGAAGAAATTATAACTTCAGACTCGTAGGTTTCTACGAGCTCGTAGGTTTCTACGAGCTCGTAGATTCTTTAGCAAATATGATTTGTGGGATTTCAGATTGTTTTTGCATCTAATCCAATCAATTGCTCTAAATATGGTAAATCTATACCTTTTTAGGTACTTTAAATTTTCTTATAATTGGTCCAACAAACTTAATGTTTTATAGCAAAATATTTTTATTTTTTGACTTTATTAATAGTAAAAGTAATAAAATAAGGCTCTTCTTTAGCCTTCTCATATCTATAGCATTGCCTCTAACAAAGGGTACTAAAAAATAGTAGACGAATGATAGAATAAGTATGTAAAGAAGAAGACTATGATAATTTTAAATTAAATAATAAGTATAGTAAAAGTTTAATTTAAATTGTAAGATCAATACCTTTATAAACTACTAGATATCGCTTTGGCCAGAAATAAAAAAGGGAGTTTCGTTTAACATTACAAGAGCTATAGCTATATCATTCTATCTATAAAATATGTGTATGTGTGCTTATCTTGTAAGGCTTTGATAAAATGTTTTGTGTTATAGGGTCTTGTTATAGATCTCTTGCTTAATATTGTTATCGCCTAAAAGCTATATGTTATTGGTTAGTACTTTGTAAAGCCTGAAAGACTTGTCAACAATAGTAATAGTGAGAAGAAATAGAAAGAAAAAGACTTTAGGAAATAAAACACAAGTTCGCATTAAAAAAAATATCAGTAGGTATGACTGTTTCTGGTATAAGCTCAGATCCAAGGTACAAAGTTCATAGGGCTTGTTTAACCCTCTAGTTGATTTTTCTTTAATCAAGCAAGTAGTTCTCTCTATTCGGAAATCAAGATGGTTTTCTGGGTTGACGACGAGACTTTCATCTTCAAAATATTTCTCTAGAGCCAAAATAGGTTAGAGATATTCTAAACTTGGTAAGTGCTAGATGGTGTTCAAAAATCTGCCATTTATTTCCAAAATAAGGCAGCTTGTTTCAAATACTCGTAGATTTTTTTCTACAGTGCAATTCCCTCGACAATTCCCTCGTACGCTGGTGAATGGCAAACAATCGAGTAAATTTGAAGCAATCCAAAATAGGAAGTACGGAATATCAAGAATTAAAACCCCATTTGGATGATTTTCATGAACTTCTTCAAAAATGAACAAGTAGTCACCCTCTCTAGTAAACCACATTTGTAAGGTACACAATTCGAAAAATGAGGCGCACTATTGGGTTAAAGCTTTTTCAAAGTTTTTTTTATATTTAAACAAGAGGGAGAGTCCACGATATAAGAAAAATAGTGGCAGAATGTTTATTACTATCCTTAATGGTCTAAGAATACTTTTCTGTGTTGTCTATCTAAAAACAAAATCCGTTCATAACAATTGGTGGCTCTTAACTATGCGTCTTCTATTCTCGAATTGTGTGCCTTAAATTTTCGAATTGTGCGTCTTGTATAGTGCTTCTCACTCTAAGCGTATTAACGTTTCTTCTGGACCAACATAAAGTTTAGTATTATCCGAGAGATACCCTTTGTGCGAATTCAAGAAAGGACCTTGTAGAGTGTATTACAAGAATTATTACAATGGCTCTGTACGATTACTATGGAATATTAGTAGTACAGATATATACAATGCATTATATCTTCAGTACCTGAGAAACTTCTATGTTTAAGGCACCATATTGTATTTAGTTTTTAACGACCTAAGAAAATGTCTTTATTAACTGGCAAACATTTACACAAAGAGAATCATTCGGATTCCATTAAAGAACGGACCAAGTCTCTATTATACAAGACTGAAAGTAAAAATAAAGTAAAACGAAAGTCTTTGATGAGCTATGTTATGAAGAGAATATTGAGTCAGCCGTTGTTACATTTTATTACTAATTATCAACACACATTCTTCATAGTATTGTTACAAGATTGGTGTACTTTTTTTGTCAAAAACCGGTGTTGTTAATTCGAGTATCAATGCAAATATATATCATAATTGTATACACAATTATAGAACATTTTATTTTCTATAGCTAAGCAACAGTACCTTGCTGGATATGCTTTTAATTCTCGAATAAAAACTCTCTATTTTACCAGCTTTAAAGACATAGCGAGCACTTCACCTAATAACCCATCCCCATCCGGTTATACATCTCTCTCGAGTACATATCCGATGAAAGGATAATATAATAATGGTATTCAATATACAGATGCAATATCAAGCTAGATACACGTACACACGCACCATACTCTAGTACCATTACTGTGATAGCTTTTCTTACAATGATTTTTTTAATACAAAACAAAAAAGATTAAATTCTTTTTGATTTTGAAATTCGAGGTTGGTTTTTTCTTTCTCTAATGAAAGCCGTATATTACTCCTTCTCCTTCACCTTTATATATAGACTTATATACGTATGTGTGTATGTAAGATGATCATATAACCGAGCCATGTTTACTTGGTCAAGGCAGACTGAAGAGCCTCGTAGAACTCAACCTCGATCTTGGCCTCTGCCTTCTCAACCTCGGAACCGCTTCCGGCAAGGGCACGCTGAGCCTCAGCAAGACCAGCTTGGACATTCTAATTCATTTTATCCAACCAAAATTTCCAACTCTTGTCAGTATCTTGTTGTCTCAACCATAATATTCCTCAATTGCTCTCTAATTTTTTCTTTATCAAACCAAAAACATACCTCGAGCGAGAAGTCTTCAAGAGGAGCAGCCTCCACAGCGTTAATGTTGAGAGAAGAGTCGGGGTTGATTGTAGCGAAACCACCAGAAACTATAAAAGTTCATAACAAACACAAACAAAAGTTACGTTTGAGTAAGATATTATATTTTTTTTAAAAAAAGAAAAAAGAAAAAGAAAGAAAGTAAAAGGTCCTGGACTCATTTATTGTCGTATAACTCACCAAAGAACTTCTTTGTAACCTCAGCAGACTCAACAACCTCAACAACACCAGGGTTCAATTGTTCAATTGTGGGGACATGGTTGGCAAGAATACCCATGTCACCCGAGGTGGCAGCCAAGTTAACCTGCTGGACGTTGGTAGCCTTGTAAATGGCCTAAGCACGGACAATAAACAATTGTGAGAAACTCAATCCTAGTTTTCATTTATTCTTATTCTTTAAAAAAAGAAGAAAAATGTCTAAATTATTAATTTTGTATGTACCTTGTGGGGGAGGACAAAGGTCAAAGCAAGCTTGTCAGTGGTGGAAGCCTCAGAAGCGTAGAATCTGGCTATAATGACTCAATGAGCTGGATCGCGCTTTTTTTTTGGTTTTTGGACGACAAAAACATTATGTTGCATCATCGGTGTCTTACCCAAACGAGCAGGCTTTGCAGCAGCAACAGCAACACGAGCGGAACGGGCGAAGACGTTCATTCTTAAATAATAGTATGGAGGAGGAGAAGCTTTGAACGTTTATACACTTAGTGTTTTTTTAGGGCAAACTGTGCCATGAAGCGTGATGACGTCATATAGTCTGTTTTCCGAAACCATTGGCCAACTTCAGACATATAAAAAAATCAGCCTAATAATATATTATATTTCCCAGATTTGCTGTTGAAGACTGGCGACTTTTTTTTTCTTCTCTTTTTACCCAGCCCAAGTTTGATATTTTATGCTTTCAGTAAAAACCCGTTTTATTCTCTTAATGCTTCATTAAATTAAATAATTCATTTTTTATTGTTTTGTCGACCTCGAAAGGATGTTTGACTTGGTATCATAGATCATTAATAAAGCTCTGATTTACAGACCTTTTTTTTTAAATTAAATAAATAAATACAAAAAAGACATAGTTTTAGACGCATGTGTGAAGCACTACTGTTATTCGGCATCATGATAGAGCCCTTCTTTACTTTTTTAAATCGTATATTTAGCATACAGTTTTTGTATTGCCGCCACCCGTTGCACTATACATCATAATGTACTGCTTTGTCAAAAGTATTTGACAAACTGATCAACCAAACTAGCTTTGAGCAAAATATCAAATTATATACTTTATATCCTAATCATAAGGACGACCGAAGTTTCGATTTTACGAGACCACCTAAATGTAACTTGCTATAAAAAGAAAAAATAAATACATCTGGTCCCTAACGATCCATATTTATCTCTATAATAAAATCGCTTTAATACAAAGCGGAAGAATGACTTGAGCCAAGTATAAAAAGTACAATATCGAGTATGCACTTTTGTAAATACCGCTTAACGCAGATAGTGTGCATTATCCAATATATATACATTTATATGTAGTAAAATAGCTACTTAGCATACTGCTTAAAAATGCTATATCCGAACAGGATATAACAGCATCCATCTTGGAGACGACGTACCCTTATAACCACCGCGTGTTATTATTAATAGAATATAATATATATACAGCTATAATATTGTGTACAAAATGCTTTTTCGAGAGAAACAACGTAAAATATGCTTTGTAAAAAGATTTATTTTGTTGAGCAAGTGCCAGAAAATCTTACTAGCTCTTTATTGCCAATAAACATTAAGAACATAATTTTTGTACATGTGCCAAGATTCTTTTCTTTATGATTCTTTTTGAAACAAAATTTGACCAATAATGTGTGAGATTAGTGCAAGACATAAGTTTATAGTTTGTAATATCAGAGCCACCCCGTGAGGCCTCAAAGTCCCTAAAAAATAAGAAGAAGAAGGAGGAGGTGGCACTATACATGATATGTTGAGTAAAGTGTTTATATGACAACCTGGTCATGTTTCTTGGCTTTATTTTGGCTCTTTCTTCATCAGTGGCATTTCCCAGGATAGGCTTCTTAGATGATATTAAGTTTCCTACGATTATAGTCCCTCAAATATATGAAAAAGAGCCTTTGAGTTTGATCTGCAGATATAGAATGATTGGGGTACAAAGTGCATGTACATGTATGTATCTATGTGTGCGTGCGCATGTTTGTTTGTAGGGAGGATAGTGGTGATGCAACTAAGAAGAGTCGATATGCATTTAGAGTAATATTATACTGAATTATATGGCTGAGGTAGGGAAATATAGTTAAAAGGCACATTTACATTAGGGCTATATCGTTTATTTTAAACCAGAAAGGTACCCACTACTTAAAGAGACCAAAAGCAAGGAGAGGAGGAGTAATCGATATACATTGGTCTTGTACTCCAAAAGACTTGACTACGTAACCAAATATTTCATCTAGACATGTCCATATTGTAGCTTAACCCCCTGTCTTTTTGGTTTATATTTTATGTTTGATTGTGTGTATGTATTTGGCTTGCAGACCGCAGTTTTTTATCAATGCAATTCAGCTTGGCATAAAGTGTTTCCATAGATGTCTTGCATGCCCTTTTATGATTATCGTACATCATATCCTCATAATCAAACCAGAACTTTTCCTCAACTGCAGTTACTCCAGATCGTCCTCATAACCGAAAGAGAAAAAAAACTAATCTATCCATACCATGCAAGACCCATATTTGACTTATACTGGTATTAATGTAGCCAAATTATTTTCCTTTACTTATCAAACAAAAGCTAGATAAGCTTGTCAATATCATAAAGATCTGTGACAGCTTGAGCGGAAGTACAGGTGTGACTCGTATCCAATACATTTTCTCGCCCTACTTTTGTAATTTCACCTTTTTGGGAAAAAATTGCAGGAACCACGAAGTTCTTATTTCCAGGTGACAGACATGCTGCCAAAAGACAGGCCAACTGTTCAGAAATTTCGTTAAGCTTGTCATTGTTAAGTACTCCAATGATATTGACTTGGCCAAAGTGATTCAAAATAGACTCCAATAATAATTTAATGTTTCTACTCTTGTTAACATTGCCATAAAGCTCTTGTACTTGTTGCCGGTCTAGTGAAGCTCTTCTGGTACTCCTTATTATAGCAGCTGCCATTATAATCTAAAGAGATAATGGTGCGATCAGAACTTGATTGATTGTATCTTCATGTTTGCGCAATGTAGATATTGAGAGAAGGTTAAAGCAAAGTGTCTTTTGGCTGACGGCCAACCAAACTCATCACACACGTGACACATCAGCATACGAATTTCCCCCCCCCCCCCAAAGTGTGCGAATACTTTCCGAAAAAGGTGTATCATTTTTTCTGTTTATAAAATAAAATAAATAAATAAAGTAAACATCTCAAAAAATAACAAAGCAACATGGACATTTCTCGTTATAACCAAGCCGAACAGGCACAGATCGCAGCTATGATTGAGCAGAAACAGGAAAGTGTTGGCCAAACTCACACACGTCAATTCAGAATGCAAACTCATGAGGTGGGACTAACCCTTCACCCCCAACCCCTTTTATAGATGAAGGACTTTATGAACTTGTACAGTAATCTCGTCCAACGTTGTTTTGAGGATTGTGCCAATGACTTTACAACAAAGGCTGTTTCTAGAAAGGAGGTAAGGGTTCCAGCATTGACCAAGGATCGCACTGCGTTGCGTTGCACTGCGCTACACTGCGTTGCTTTTGCTTTGTGTATGCCTTTGACTGATACCCGATTTATCTTCTGTAAGGAATCCTGCGTAAAGATGTGTGCAGACAAGTTCCTGAAACACTCTGAAAGAGTGGGTGCTCGATTTTCTGAGCTCAGCCAGACCGTAAGTGAGAGGATTACAGATCCACAAATACTTATACACATATATATTAGATGACACCCCCAGGTTCACAGTAAATTATTAGGTTATAAAAAAAAAGAAGCCAAATATATATATATTGTTTCGTCGGTTTTCTACATGAATAAGCGTAACGTTGTGCTGTTAAACGAGATTTATAGAGTTATAAATTCTACCGAAAGATGAATTTGACACGCCACTGATTCATGCTGCTTGATTCATCTTTCGCGTCGTCGGGGGTTTCTTTTGGGTTCTGAGTAGTTTCACGCACTGCAGATTCTGCAGAAACGGACGAGAGAGGAGGAATGGCATATTCAAATGCGTTTTCCTCAAATCCAAGTTCCTCATCAAGTTCCTGGGGAGAACATTTGAGAGTTGTGCAGATCTCGTCGTAGTGATGACTGCCATTGAGAAAGGGGATAATCTCAGAGTGTATAGTGGTACCGGTGTTGAGATTGATGATGTTTGAGAACGGTTTGTCAGCCGAATTTGGCTCAAAACTGTCGTTTGGGTTAAGGCTGATGAGAATTGGATATTTGTGCACCCGATAGATCAGGCCCTTGATGATACCAAACGATATGAAACGCCTGAAACCCCAAAAAGCAAAAAAAAGAAAAGAAATAAGATCGATTAATTTATTCTATTTTCTCATGTATATATATATTACTGTTGGTTAGACTTACCTAACATCAATGGGCAGAGAGACAACATGTTGTTCGTCTATCCAGTCCCTAACAGAAGAACCATATTGCAGACCACAGTAGAGGGCAAAAATACGTGGAAGGGGAGGGGTTGGCATGTCTAGAAAAAACCGTTATTATCTCGATTCACGTTGTTACTAAAGCGTTTCAACTGACTGGCAAGGGTGATGTAACGAAGGCACTCTTGTGCTAGACCAGAACTATCGTCTAGTAAGCGTGTGATCTCGGGTTTAACTGCATACACATTCGAGAACTGGAATATGTCGGTCATGATGATGCATCCATAGTACCTTTGAATCAATTCGATTAACACCAGCACAGGAATCCACATACATTATATATACCAAACGAAGAAGAAGCTTACATGAGATGTTCCATACTCTGCCGCACCCATTCAGTTCGCACATTGCTCAAGTCGGCAATACGTTTTACATGGTTAATTCCGTTGATATGGTCAGTTACCTACAACAGGGCGTCCTTTGTTTATTTGTTTGCTTGTTTGTTTATTGTTATTATTATTTATTGTTTGTCTTATCTTACTTTTTGAACCGTTATATCCCAATTGTGAGTCATCATTTTCTTGACATCTACCGTGCACACTGGGACCTGATAGTCGTATACGGTTGAGGGGTTTGGATAGGACGGAAACAATTTGAGATTGATTGTATTGAAAGCATCTAAGGAGAAAAAAAACGGGAGAGACAAGTCGATCAGTTCTAATACTTTCAATTTCTTTTTTACGTTTAATTATCGTTATTGCTAAAAAAATAAAATAAAGTAGATAATTATATAGAACAAAGGCTTACTTATAGGAATCTGACACTCGCAGTAACTGTTCAAATCTTCAAAGAGTTGTTCAATCACATTCTGAACAGATTTCGTCTCTGAGCTGGCATCTTGCGACAGAAAGTCACATTCCAACTAATCCCAAATGTTGGTTGTCTCGCCTAGTTCACTCTGTTGACTACTTGCTTGAATTCCTCACCTCCAAGCCTTCTAGAACTCGCGATAGTTTACGAACAACTGCTTCGTAGCTACTTGTCTCTGCATCACGTTCGAAGACAAAGCATAGATTGAATCTGAATTCATTACGAAAATCGCGATATTTTACATGATCGTTGAGAATAACTGGACATCCCATTACTTTATAATTGTTGGTACAGATAGTAACAAGACGTTTATAGAGCTGTTTTTTTGGGATTACATATTCACTAATTGCTTCAAATTCGATTAATGGCTTTGTGGTTGATTCTTCTTGGTTTGCTAGTGGGGTAATGCTGCCTTCAGGGACTTGGTGTTGAACAACGGTTCCTTTGATGATATCAAACACTGCATAAAAGATACTATGGATACGAGGAAATCCCTGGAACTCCATCCTGCAGAAGAGTTCGTTATGTTGTTAATAGCAAAGTTGAAGTCGAATCAAAATTGACTAGTAGACGTTTGTATGTAGGTTTTGTGGGGGTGGTGGTGGAAGGTAAAAAAAAGAGGGTGTTCAGGGCTGGGGATGAGGGAGGGGGGGAGGGGGAGGACGAGTTATTTTTCTGTCACAGTCACTTGGGATGGCTGTTTCGCTTAATCCTCATTTGGATGAACGGGTATTTGAGTATTTTTTTTTACTTGTGCATAACATGTACCTAATAATTACTTTGAAATATTTTTACCATAGACTTGTTGTCATTGTCTAAATTTTTAGACAGTTAGTTAGATTGCTATATGTGCTGACATGACAGCGAATAACCCTAGACCAGCTGGCTTCTTGCTGATCTCGGGATATTCTACCGAGAGATACATATAAACACACACACACACATATATATATTCTGTGAAGATGGGAAGTAGATGGTGATAATCCTGAGGATACACAGGCTAAGAAATGATATGCATGCACAGTTTCCACAAGAACGCACAGGTTCCACCAATCACTTGAATGTGAAGGTGGCACGGCAGCAACATATGACGCTTTGGTCTGACACTGTTTTTGGCTTGTTAGAAATTTGACTATTTATTGTAAATGGAAGCACGGCTTCGATTTACCATTAACAAAAGAAAGGATTAAAAAAAGGAAATATAGGAAAGGAAAATACATGGTGGCATGGGTAGAAAAAAGGCAAAGAAAAGGAGAAAAGACTATGTATATGTATATGTATATGTGTATGTATATATAAAGAAGGAGAGGAATATTTGTTGTACATGTAGGAAATAAAAGAAAAGGAAAAAGTTGGATATACTGTGGGTAATTTTTTTTTTTATGTTTTTCTGTTTTCTGTGTTTTTTTTTCTTTTCTTAATGAGGCTGGCTGTCGAGACTACTGCTACTGGTTGTAGGTGAAGGAAGGACAGAAGTGAATGCGACTGGACCAGTGTAGGCAGGCTTACGGACGTGTCTATTATGGCGAGTGTCAAACGCCCAGCAGCGTGAACAATGCTCGCCTGGTCCAAGGAAACGGTTACAAGTGGCACACTTAGAGTGGCAGTCGGAACAAAACCAGTCAGACGCGAGCACCTTGTCACAAGAGCCACAGATTGCAATGGTGGCGGAATGTTGAATGGGTGATGACGGAGGAGAGGGCAAGAAGTCCATAGCAGAGTCAGTAAGAAGGTCGAGTGAGGGAGTGAATGAATAAGGGAGTGCGTGCGTGGGTGAGGCAACTTGTATTTATATATATTTCCTATGCACGGACGCTCTGGAGAGCTGACTAGGTCGACATGTCTAAAGATCCTAAACAGGACAGATTTCTGTCTAGCCTACAAGGTTCCTGCGCGCCTGGTAAGTTTATTTTTGTCAAGCCACTTCATCATTATAAGGGTGAACTGGTTCTGAACCTGTCTCACCGATCCATCAAAAAGTAAGCCAGCTGTAGTTGCATTCTGGCCCTCTCTGCACCAGTGACTTTCTATTTGTCTCATTCTTCATCTTTCCTCTTAATGCAGGCTGGACTGGGCTGAGTTGTGGTGCGGTAAAAAGACAATCCATCTCTCTCTCTTTCTCTCTCTCTCTCTCTCCAGGGCGTGGAATGGCGCCAGAAGTCTTATTGTCCAAAGCTTTACGTTAATAATTCTTAGAGTCAAACAACAACAACAACAACAACAACAAAGAACTATATAGTAATAGCAATAATAATAATAACAGCAGCAGCAAAAACAACAACAAAAAAGCAAAACAGAACCAGCAATAGGTCCAAGGTGGAGGTACCTGGTGCATGCATCCCCCCAAAAATATAATATAATAAAATAAAATAAATAAAATGATAAAAGCAGGATAAAAAGGCTACACAGTCGGCAATACTCTGCATATACTCTGCAGAAATACGCTTTTCATCGGTACGGCATCCAGGAACGCCGACAGTGTCGTACCGGTTTCCTTTTTGTTTTGAATGTGATATTAAAGGGGGTTGCTTTTCTTCTCTACTGTCCATGCCCTTTATTAAACTAGTCTAAACATTCTACACGTGCTTCTGCAGGTCCAGCAAACCCTGTCGGTTGGCTACTTCGTCGGGACGGACATGTATTGTTCTTAGGATATCATGGTAGTCGCTCACAAGAAGATGCCAGTAATCAACTTCGTCTCTCAATTCAGTGGCCACATATGCCAATAGTCGAGCAAATACATGAGTACCCATAGAAACCGCTGCATATTGACCAACAAACGCTTGGTAAAATTGGTAAAACGAAACATGGGCTTGTCGGATGTGTGCCGATGATCTTTTCCATGCGGATTCCAATAGATCAAGTTGAGTGGGGTAACTACACAAAAGCTCAAGCCATCCTTCTACCTCTTTTGTTACATTCCAGAACACCTCTCTTTCACTTTCAAATCCACTCTGGCGTCCTTCCCGATCTCCGATCAAGAAGATCTTCATCAAAGAAACGATAGCCACTGCCCGGTCAGTCTCCGGTTGAAGACTTGCGGCCTTGAGGGTGGCCTTAATGATATCAGCAGCTTTGGCGTCACTTTCGACAAAGGACTTCTCTCCATGGTAGAGCTCATCAATCGGAGACCACAGAAACACACTCACATCCTTAGATACATCGTAGCTAGGATACATAAATGTATCAATAATTCGTCCATCATACTCGAACAACGCCTTTGACATGGATGGATCACTCTGTGGAATATAAAATGCATCCAATACGGATGTTTCTAGTCGATCGAGCACAGAGGACCGCATCAGAGCCTGCGCCAGCCACGTTTCGGCTGCACCTGCATGCACACTGCAGACGGCCATCGTAATCTCCGCCGTGTTACAGTCGGCCCACACTTGTTTCCGACCCGATTCATCAGTTTGGCTGATCCACAACCAAAATGCAAGCCGACCCGCCCGACCCGATGATCTCCTGAGAGACTCGACCAAGCTTGCATCATATAATACGTGTTTGACATTTTCTTTCAAATCGTTGTAAACAGGCTGGTGAATAGACCCGAATGCCTTCAGGAGTTGGAGGCGACGCAATGTACGATCTACAGTGGGTACAGACCAATCAGTCATATCAAGTGCATTCCACACCAGACGAATCTCAGTAGCAGAAGGCGGGAAACGGTCAATGTAGCTTGACCAAGCAGCCAAATAACCCAATGCACAGTCTTGAAGTTGGGCGCATTTGGATCCCAAGAGAGAAACTACTATAGGCAAAAACTGAAGTGGTTGGTGCCAACTGATGGCGTGTACAGGGGTTGTCTTGTGTGGATCGGCCGCCAGATGTAACTCAACTTCCAACAAGGAAAGGACTGCCATTGATCTCTTATCATTCAATGCAGAGGGCGTGTGAACAGATTCACGGAGCCAGAACATATTAAGAGACTGCAGGTCCTCAATTATAGGCATCACCAGTCCATAGCACATACATACACGTAATAAACGCAGCATCTCACATTGCAGCTCATACGCGTCTGCTTCTCTCGAGCCAGCAATAGCAGGGGAAACGACAAGGAAAGGAAGACCGGCTGTTGTCTTGGGTAATATATCCTTGGCAATAGTTTTACTACCTTGAGCTAACACTCGCATCAATCGGAGCACAACTAAGCTTGGCCTTGTGGATGAAGTACCACTAATGGGCCATTCAGGGTTTACAATACCCCATTCGAACACGCGTTCCAATAGTTCATGTTTCATGATTTTCTCGCATACGTCTTTTCCTGCCTCGGCAAAACGTACCAAAATGGCCACTAGCCGCTCCATTGACATTGGATCAGTCAACAATCCACTATCAGGTGCCACAAGATATCGAATACGGGCAAGGATATCCATGCCAATCAGACCACGTATAAGATCCTTCTCTGCTAATACTGCATCATCATCATCCTCGTCTTCATCATTATTTTGATTACGAATTGCATTAATAGAACTAGTAAAGCGGTTGGCAAGTCCAGTCACTTTGGTAGTCGAGCCGGCTGTCGGAGGTGTACGCGGACTGATGACATGACCAAGGAATACTTCCATGTTATTGTCTTCTTTGTTGTCCACATCTAATACAAGTGCAGCCATAGCTTCAATCGCACTTGCCTGCACTACCAAGCTGCGGTCATCTAATGCAGATCGCAGATAAAGAGTTATGGCAAGATCAGGCCTCAACAGTACTCGCATCACTTCGTGTGCCCAGCTATCCTCGGGGTTGTTTGAATAAAGGCACTTTTTTGAATGTTGAATAATTCGTCCAATAGTAGTCAAAATAATTGCTCGCTGAGAAGGCACTTGGCTTCGAACCAAATGAAGTAATTCGGCCAAAGTGTAGCCGGCTTTTTCGGGTTCATCTCCATGATGATGTAACCCCTGATGACGAGGTATATCCATAGAAGGATTAACAGGTTTGCCATGTAAATCAAATCTCAATTTTCGGTACACTTTCTCATTCGATGACATTGCCTTATCGTCTTCAACTTCTTCCTTCACCTGTTTCATCCATGCCAGCTTATCTGACTCCATTGGAACATCAGCAAAATATGTTTCTTTCATAGCAATCCGCTCCTTTTCTTCTTCGTCAATCAATTCATCTGTAGATCTTTGTGTATTCTTAACCACTGGTTTAACATTCTTGCGTCGATTCATTAGTGTCTCAATTGAAGCAGGACTCAAGGTACCCATAATCTCCTGTCTTGCTTCCTCAATTTCCTGCTCTGACATGTTTGCAATTCGACGACTGTTTTCGTCTTCTTCGTCATCTTGCTTGTAAGTATCATTCACTTTTGTACTCGTAGAACTCAATTCGGATTTAACTTCCTTCTTTTTTTGAGCCATTCGTTTACTGAACTCGCTACGATGTGCTGCCTCTGGAAACCCTTGGACGTGACGTCGGGATGATTGCCCAGTAGGTCGATCGGCAGGCAACACAGGCGCTGTTACTGTTTCCACATTATGTTCTTTTACTTGTCCCAAAATATTGCCGAGCATCGATGTCAAATCCAGCATTTTTTTCGTCACTGGCACATGGGGTTCCGGGAATGGATCCTCTACTGGAACTTGATCATCAATACCATCGTCTTGATCTGAAACTTGCTCGACTCTAGATCCAACTGGCACTGACTCAAGATCTGGCATTTCTACATCCTCAAGTTGTGGCATTGGTGCTGCGTCTTTCAACGCCTTTTCCTGTGCTTCGCGCCGTCTTTGGGCGAATACACTCTCCTTCTTAGGTGCCTTGCTTTGCATGGCAGGAGGTGTACTGCGAATAACAGTTGCTGCGGCTTTTTGCTCATTAGCAAAGAAATTACGTTGCAATTCCTCAAGATCTTCTTCTAGACCGTCATTAGGGGAGGGGCGAATGGATTTGTGCATGACACTAGAGAATTATACAACAAACGACACATGGCTATCTACAGAAGCATTGTCCCTCAATAGGCGAGCGTGACTGTGGAATGTGAGGTCTAATGTTGGGTAATTTCCAACTAAGAAAAAAAAAGCGATCGACAAAGTGCAACGTCTTGCCAAAGGTTATTTTTACTCCTTTTCTTTCGGAGCAAGTTTGAAATGGTAATACCATGTATTGTACCCACAGACCTAACAAGAAGGAAAATAAATAAATGTTGTTATACTTAGCTTAGCCTAGTCCAATGTAAGCTTGGTGAAACAATCGTATTAACAATAAATGTTAAATTATCAACTTCGTTAGAATATAATTATCTTTAATGTATACAGATGTTACGAGATTCAAAACATACTGGATATGCTGCTTTTGAATATATATATATTCTTTTTGTATCCACAAACATCTTCATTACTTTTTTACTTTTATGCTATTACTGAGTACGTACATATTGATAGATAAAAATAGTCAATGGTCATAATTACAAATGAGTAATATTAATTTTTCATAGCATATTTATTTATATTGGACATTAGTTCACAAGCTTAATCTCATGTACATATGTGTGTTGCATGTTACAGTGGCGTGGTTATTACCTATAATTGTGTGATCTTATTGGAGCATAAACTAAACAGTAATAATATTTTGAATAAGTCTGATAGCGTGAAAAAATAATAATAAACAGACGAGTAAGATAAACAGCGGTTATTCAAGAGACAAAAGAGTACATACACGCATATACCAACAAAAAAAGTACGGTGGTGTATTGATTGAATACCAAATAAAAAGTCTTTTTGATCACATGCATTCGTAAAAAAAAATGAGAGAGTAATTAAAGAAGTAGTTGCTTAGTAGGGAACATAGCAAGAACCTAAATTATCAGACCAATCAGTATTCAACGATTATGAGTAAAGATTCAACAGTGAATAGTCAAGCACAAAGGAAAAGATCGGAAGAAGGGGCAGGGGAGCGGGAGCAGAAGATAGGAAGTGTAAGCAAACTGTGTCACCTTGACGGACTCCACTTGGTGAGGAATGGAAGTGCTTGTTTCCAAGGATTGATCTGAAGTCTACAAGGCACTCCTTGAGCCCTTGGAGATGATAGACAAGGGCTATTGTATCTTATTCACCGCATTAACAAGGAGAATTAACGTCGGTATTAGCTCATTGCATGGTGCATCGAAAATATAAATAAATAATGTCATATTTCGCCACTTTTCATTTTCTTTATCTCTTTGTCTCCTCTCTTGATTCACAATGCCATCCAAGAAGCATGCCATCGCAGACGACGATTTCGAGCCACACCAGCTCAATGTTCGGCTACCCGAAGTTTGTGTTGATTACCTTTCCTACAAATTTGACGAGATGGATCTTGCTGCCTCATGGCGAGTCATGACAAAAAAGAAGAAGACTGTAGTTGATGGCATTCGTCTTGAGAATGCCTCATGGCGTACATGGGCCAAAACAAAAAATAATCTTAAGACGATCAGTCCCCAGACCCTCAACTGGTAGATATTTAGATATAGCTTCATCCTTTTCTCTCTTTCTAACTATTCTTTATCACCATAATGATAATAATGTAAAAAAAAGGCTTAAGGATAGTGATGTGACTTGGTTGTATGGTCCACTCCACACAGTTATAAAGAGTACCGATAAAGAAGATAGATTTGGCCACCCAAGAGTAGCAACTACAGAAGAAACATTAGGATTGATGACCTCAAGACCCCTTTGTACCAACGCCCCCATCACACCACAAGGGTTGCCACTAAAGTCTGCTCTCAAAAAAGTAACAATGGCTGATCTTCTTAAACGATCTGCGACAGAACTACGCCAAAGTGAAGCTGAGCATGAAGAATGGCTGAACCATCAAAAACAATATCGTCAACATCAAAAAGATCATCAAACGCAACAGCAACAAGAGCAGCAACAAGAGCAGCAGCAACAGCAGCAAAGGCAACAATCTGGAGATATCACTCTTTCTCCAACAATCTTTTCTTCTGGCCGCCAAACAAAACTGAGATTTAATCACCACGTGGAACAATGCATCGCTTTGCTAGACGACGAGACCGAAGTCAGGCTGCAGCCAACTTTGCCGAAAGTGTCGCTCCAAGAAAGCACACAGAGAAGTAACTCTAAGAATGTCTGCCCTCGTTCATCTATCAAGATAATTGCACCAGCCCGTCTTAAGCACTCCCAGCCGGATGATATTGACATTGATGAACTCAGCCCTTCTATAAAAAGCTTTACTGAGGAGGATAAAGAAATTCTCCCAGAAGTAATTGTGCCAGAACAAGTCGAGCATTTCGAAGCAGAATCCACAGCACAGCCAAAAATCCAAGATACTGCAAAAGACAACGGTGCTCTCAGAGAATGCTTAGTTGGGATTGATCAGCGTGGCTCTACGCACTGGACAGGCAATCACTCTTTGCAGGGAAATGATGCGCAGGACATCTCAGAATCATCGATATTTAGCCATTTTGCCCACTGGGCGTCGTCTTACTTGTGGCCAACAAGATCTCCTATCCCAATTTCTACAGGTACTCTGACGTCTTCCTCCTCCTCTCTCACTTCCAGTGCCTCACATCATGTTTCCAACGTAGCACCAGCACCTGCGTTTTGATATAATGTTCTTTTTTTTCCCTTATTTACTCATTATCTTAATCATTTTTAGCCAAGCCAAAAAAAAGGAATCTATTTTTCTATTGTTTTGTATTCGTAGCAAGTCCTCTCCATCTCATCTATGCCTATGCCTAGGTTAGATCAAACCAAGCACTGATTTCATTCTTTGTTCTATTATCCATAAAATCAACATTTAGCTTTATTCCTAGAAGAAGGAAAGGCGCGTGTAAATTAAATACATTTGCTCATACAAGCAATCAGTAGACAAACAAAGAGAAAAAACAAGAAAACTGTAATCAAAGCAATTGTTTATTTATTTTAATATTATTTGTATATTATGGGATATATGCGAAACGTTTTTTCTCTGCTTTTTGTTTTATTTCATTTATTTAAAATAAACATATACAATATAGATTGTTATTTGTTTTTATATCTTAGTCTCCACAAACTCTCCCCAGCTCTTGACCTCAGATGGAATCTCCACAACATCATCAATGCGGTGACGAACACAAGAATCAACAAATAAACGAGCAACTTTAGAATCGTTCAGAAGAGGAATACCAAAATCAACAGCCGCACGGCGACAGATGTAACCCTTGTCAAACTGATCGGGAGCACGCACCTTGGCTAGATGAACAATACACTTGATATCATTGTCCTTGAATATTCTGTTTAGCTCACGCTTATTTTCGGTCTGCTCAGCTACTGGCAATACAATACAGGGAATATTGGCCTTTTCCAGAATAAGTTTGTCTTCTTTTGTCGGCACAAACATCGAGTGGCCGAGTTCATTGTAGAACGTGTAAGCAATGTGAAGGTAGTCATCTATGTTGGTAACATAATCGCCGCCTATCAAGACACCAGAGTTTCGAGGCGGGATATGGAAGTTTTGAACTGACTGGATCGAAGCCCAAAAGGCCTCATATTTATCTTTACCAAAGCATGCAACCTCGCCAGTAGAAGCCATTTCAACACCAAGAAAAGGGTCAGCACCCTGGAGTCGGGTCCAAGAGAATTGAGGGACTTTGATAGCCTGATAGTCATAGGTTTTTTTCATCAGATCGACAGGAGAAGGAACTTGCTTGCCAACAAGTGCCTTGGTAGCAATGTCAATAAAATTGATTCCGAGCACCTTGGAAACAAAAGGAAACGAGCGAGATGCACGCATATTACACTCTATGACCTTGAGGGCGGGAGGCTCTTGCTCATTTGAATTCGGAGTGGAATTATAATCTTGTTTGATAATTTGCATATTGAAAGGTCCAGTGATTTCAAATGCCTTGGCCACCTTGTCTGCAATTGTCTTGAGACGATCCATGGTCTGTGTATCAATATCGAGCGATGGTAAAATAAGAGTGGCATCACCTGAATGGACACCAGCGTCTTCGACATGCTCAGAAACTGCATGTACAAGAACTTTACCGTTGTGAGCCACCGCATCAATGTCAATCTCCTTGGCACCTTGTATGAACTTGGTAATTACAACAGGATGAAGCGGGGATACATCGGCAGCCATAGTAAGGTTTTCTTTAAGAGCTTGAGGAGTATAGGCAACGTTCATAGCAGCACCTGAAAGTACATATGAAGGACGAACAAGAACAGGATAACCAACAGAGTCTGCAAACTTAAAGGCCTCTTCGACACTGGACAATTCCTTCCATGTCGGCTGGTCGACACCGATTTTGTCGAGTATTTTCGAGAATTGGAAACGATCCTCGGCAGCATCGATCATCTTGGGCGAGGTACCGAGTACATTGATGTTGTTGTCATGCAAACGCAAGGCTATGTTCTGTGGCAATTGTCCACCCACGCTCACAACCACTCCCTTGGCACTTTCCTTTTCGGCAATATCCATAACACGCTCGAAGCTGAGTTCTTCAAAGTACAGACGATCACATTCGTCAAAATCGGTCGAGACTGTCTCGGGATTATAGTTAACCATAACTGTCTTTTCGCCCAAATTTCGTAGACCACGGATACAAGATACACCACACCAGTCGAACTCAACCGAGGATCCGATACGATAAACGCCAGAACCGAGTACCATGATACCCTTGTCGTCAAAGGCCACGTCGTCTTCTGAAGCATTATAGCTGGTATAAAGATAGTTTGTGTGTGCAGGGAATTCGGCAGCAAGGGTATCGATACGCTTTACGAAAGGAGTGATATTGTTTTCTTTTCGAACCTGACGGAGAGCCAATTCATTTGTACCGAGCAACTTTGCCATTTGAATGTCAGAGAAACCGGTCTTCTTGGCCTTTTTGAGCAGGTCAATGGGAACTTTGGAGAGCACACCCCTGGAGTCGGATAGCTGGTGATAGACGTCTGCGATGTTCTTGAGTTTGTGAAGGAACCATTTGTCAATCTTGGTTAGGCAGTGGAGGTGGTCTACCGAGTACTTTTCACGCACGGCCTTGTCGGGAGAGAGCATTACTTGGCCAATGGCAAACAGACGGCGATCGGTTGGATCAGTCAGGATGTCATCAACATCATTAAAAGGCTCAGACAAGCCGTGGAATCCTTGCCAGGAGGGATCAACCTGACGGATGGCCTTTTGGAGAGACTCTTCAAAAGTACGACCAATGGCCATAACCTCACCCACGGATTTCATAGAAGAGCCGATATGACGATCGACATACTGAAACTTGGCAAGATCCCATCGCGGAATCTTGGTGACAACGTAATCAATAGAAGGCTCAAAGCAAGCAGTTGTGGTCTTGGTTACTGAGTTTTGGAGACTGGGTAAAGTGTGACCAAGAGCAATCTTTGCTGCAATAAAAGCAAGTGGATAACCGGTAGCCTTGGAAGCTAATGCACTATAGAGACCAAAAATGGAAAAAAAAATATATAAATATCATAAATTAAAATAATGCGTTATATAAATATACAAGTGTATGTGTGTCTGTTAAATGCAAAAAAAAATTAAAAAAGGGGGGTTTTATTTTACCTTGAACGGCTCAAACGAGCATTGACCTCAATGACTTTGTACTCCAAACTATGAGGGTTTAGAGCATATTGGACATTGCATTCTCCAACAACACCGAGGTGACGAATGATCTTAATAGCAGCTGTACGGAGCATATGGTATTCCTCGTCCGAAAGTGTCTGTGAAGGGGCAACAACAATAGACTCGCCAGTGTGGATTCCGAGAGGGTCAAAGTTTTCCATGTTACAGACAGTGATACAGTTGTTAGAAGCATCGCGAACAACTTCATATTCAACTTCTTTCCAGCCTTTCATTGACTTCTCAACCAATAGCTGTGGAGTTAGAGCAAGAGATTTGGTAGCCAAGGATCGAAGCTCGTCTCCGTTGGAAGCGAATCCAGAGCCAAGTCCACCGAGAGAAAAGGCGGAACGGACAATGACAGGGTATCCTATCTCATCGGCGGCAGACAAGGCTTCGTCTACGCTCTCAACAGCAGTGGATTGAGCAGCAGGGATACCAATCTCATTGAGGGCCTTGACGAAGAGGTCGCGATCTTCAGAAGTTACCAATGTTTTGATAGGTGTACCGAGAACTTTGATGTTAAGACGATCGAGAACACCCATACGATCGAGCTGGATGCCACAGTTGAGAGCGGTTTGTCCACCAAAAGTCAAAAGAATACCATCTGGACGCTCTCTTTCAAGAATATGGATAAGATATTCAGGTGTGACAGGCAGAAAGTAAACCGAGTCGGCCAAAGAGTGAGATGTTTGGATGGTAGCAATGTTTGGATTAACCAAGATCGTTTTTACACCAGACTCGCGCAATGCTTTAATAGCTTGAGAGCCTGAATGATTATAAGGGGTTAAATAAGTTACAGGTTTGTTGTATTTTTTTAAAGAAAAGAAAGAACGAAAATAATAAACGAAAATTGGGATTGCTCTTACCAGAATAATCAAATTCACCAGCTTGGCCAATAGAAAGTCCTCCAGATCCTACCACAAGAACGTTTTGAACATCTAACAAAGGAACTTCGCCTAGAATTTCTTCGGATACTTGAACAGCGGCTCCATCACGACTAGATCGAGAAATAGACGAAGATGAAAAGAAACGGACAATGCCAATGGGTACGGACTTTTTAGGAGTCGCACGGACTGCAGGACGGAGAGTGGATAGGCGAGAAAAGGATTGAATAGAGGAATGCAAGACAGTAGTTGTAAGCCTTGGGTTAATTTTTGAGTGTATACGGCTGTACATTTCAATATATATATATGTGTGTGTGTGTTTTGCTGTTTAAAGGCTGATAACTTCTAGTTGTTTCACTTGATGAGGATATTGTCGATATAAGTTTTGTCGAACGCCAGAAGACCAGAAGTAATCAAATAGAAACCACAGTTCATGAAAGCACAAAAAATAAAGTCTTTTTGTTCTTGTTTTTTTTATGTGATTTCTGACACGAATTTCTGCGATATAAATCCTTGATAAAAAAGAGATGACAAAAATTATCGATGGTTTGTTGCTTGCTTATTTGATAAAAGAGTATAAAGCTAAAAGATGACAAGGATTTCAGTGCATATTTATGCTCTTTTTTGTTGGTGACTTTGAACTTCATGACTCATTCCATGTCGATGATTTGATACTGACCACACTTTACCAAAGCTCCGATTTAACGATGTAACATACCAAATTTGAACGATTTTTCTTCACACCTATATGCCTCTTTAATTACGCGTGTCTACAATGATGCTCTCATCCATTCCTTATTTCCTTCTTCTTGGACAGATACTTGTGTGCGGCTTTTGCCAAAGAAAGGTGACCTGTCTCTCCTCCGTAACTGGCGCCCAATTGCCCTCATTAATTGTGACGCTAAAATTTTCACCCGCCTCCTCAATATCCGCATGACCCCAATCGCCAATACTGTCCTTAACCCGTATCAAACTGGATTCCTTCCATCTCGATTTATTGCGGATAACGGCCTTTTGGTGAAATTGGTTATGGAACAAGCCCACAAGACTTCTTCTACCGCAATTGGCGTCCTTCTCGACCAGGAAAAAGCCTATGACCGCGTCCATCCTCGATATCTTTAAACAGTCCTCCTCAAATATGGCTTTCCACATTCATTTGTCATTTCTATCACTTCCCTCTTCTTCCAGACTCGCGTACGCTTTAATGTTAATGGTTACATTTATTCTCCTGTCCTTCAATCCCGAGGTTTACGCCAAGGTGACCCGCTATCTCCTGTCCTTTTCAACTTTGTCCTCAAACCTTTGCTCCTTCGTATACTTGATGATTCTCTTTTTCAAAGCTACACAATTCCCCAATCCGTTCCTTCCACTTCTCTTAAAGTATTAGCCTATGCTGATAATTTCCTCGCCTTTCTCAAGGATCCTGAAGATTTACACCGCCTCAACGAACATCTTCATACTTACGGCCTAGCATCTAATGCTAAGGTCAATATGCACAAAACCCATGCCCTCTCTCTGTCCGGATTCACACTACCAGAATGGCAGATCCCTCTCCAATCTGTCGGTATCACCTCGTGGTATGATCGCTTCTCTTCCTCGCCGGCAATTTACCTAGGCTATCCACTCATCGACACCATCACACAACGTGATGCATTCGGCGCAAAACTTCTCAATGATATACGCTTGGCAACACAGTTGCACTCTCAACGTTACCTTTCAGTCCGTGGACGCGCCACAATCGTCAACTCTCTCATTCTTTCTCGTCTTTGGCACGTCATTCGTCTTGTTTGGTTTCCAAAGACCTTCATGAACACTCTACGGTCTATTGTTCGTAAGTTTGTCATGCGCCGCATGTTTCCAAGAGTAAAATATGCTACATTATGTCTTCCACGGTCCGTTGGAGGGCTGGGTCTCATAGATCCGGCTGCCCAACAGTATGTGAGGTATACGAATAAATTTCAGAAAGGGAACAATAGGTACTGTGAGAGTGTTGTTTATTTAAGAAAGAAGATCATAGCTGTTTATATAAACATTTGGTTCCCTAATTTAAGATCTCCGTTAGTTAATGGTTGATTATCACTGAAGCAGTGTGAAGTGTACGAGTGCCTGGTGTGTGTTACGTTCCTGAGATGTGACCCTGCCAGGTTCATTAGCAATTGTAGTATCCGTTCTGGATTGTGGAGTTTGTATTTCACTCAATTGTGGTGTGTATACCACAGTATGCTCTTCAATTTCGATGGCTTCTTCCTCTTCTCTTTCCTGCTCGTGCCACACTCTCTATTCCTATTCGTTGGCTACGTGCTCATATTTCTATGTATTCTTCCGCTTCCCCTTTCCATTTGCTTGATCCTACATTCTTTTTCTTTTTTTCTACCAGTCGCAAAGGCACTTTTCCTTTCCCTTCTGCGCTGTCTTTATTCTTTTCTGCTTATGATAAACTACCTTCCTTAGACATACCTCCTTCTCTTTCTTTTGCTACATGTTTTTCTCTTCCTCTTAGTGCTATATATCATTCTTTACCACATAACACTTTTTTTTCTAATTCTCGCTTTCATCAACTGTTGGTTTCTGATGCTTTCTACTACGATCCTTTACTTCTCTGTTTTTCTCGTCTCCATCTATCTTCTCGAACAACATGTCCAATCCTCATCAACCGATTTTTCCGCATTGTTGACACGCACACACAGGTCATACACCCCTTCTTTGCCTCTCTTTGCCTTCCACCCTCCCACCCTTCCGCTTCCCATGATAGCTCATATGGCACAGTTGTCCCTATGCACCTCTCAATATCCTTTGCCTCCTTTATAAGACAACTCAAACTTTCCCGACATTCGTTTCGACTCCTATGCCCCCCTCCAGATCCAAACCCCCACCAATCGGTCTCACGCCTGTCACCTCGCCAATGGAATTTCTTCTGGTTTTTGACCTTGTCCACTTCCACCCACAACATATGGTTTCGACTTCTACATAACTCTCTTTCCCCAGCTTCCATCCTTCATGCTATTATCACCAGCTTTGTCGCCTCCCCCAAGTGCCGTCTATGTGGTTACTCTAACCAGACTCCTGAACATTTCCTTGTTGAGTGTCCTCTCGTTTGGCAAGTTTGGACTATGACTATGCATATGTGGATACCACACTGGCAAGCCCAACCGTCCACAATACTTCGTACCTTTTATGCTCTCGCCCTCCCTCCCTCCCCTCCTCATATTAACTCATATCATGTTTTGGATGGTGTTCTTGCCGCAGTGTGGAAAGCGTACTGGCGCACAATTTTTGACGATGTGCCTTTTGTTCCTGCCAATGTAGTTGTTTCTGTGAACGAATCGCTTCAATTTTTCTTTCAGTCTTCCCATCTCCTAGACTAGGTCTCTCACTCTTGTGCTCCATCTACTTTCTACTTTCTCCTGTATTATTTCTTCTCGTCGTTCTTTTTCTTCTGTTAATTTTGTTTCCCTCTTCTCTGTAATTTTCTCGTTTCCTACTACATAGTCCCCACACTTTGTGTGTTCATCAATCTCCCCCCAGGCATCTACCTCTCCTTCTTTAGGAAGTACGACCTGTTTTTGGGAAATTTAATAATAAAACTTTGTCTCATACAAAAAAAAACGATTTTTCTTCACAATACAAAAAATAAAAGCACAAGTATGAACCTCTTCAAAATTATATATAGATATGCTAGTTATTATAAATCACTGTAGAGCCATAATTATCATACTTGATATATTCAATCTGATTATTTTTTCCCGGATATAATGAGATTTCAATATTTGTCTATTTGTCATTGTATGTCTTTGTGGGACTATCTATCACACAACACTATCAAATTCTTCAAAAAAAAATTACGCACAATATCTTAATCACTATCACAGTAGCAAAACGTTACTCTGTTCATAAGTGTAAATTTTGTTACTCAACTTGTCATTCGCAATCTATCAGTCAAAGGCAAAAAATAGAATAAATGTGTTAATTTTCATGCTAATCAATCAATCAATCAAAAAAAAAAAATAAGAACAGACATCTATAGGCATATGATTTTTGAAAACGTATTATATACGCTTAATAGACTAGAATCTCATATTAACCCTATACTCTATTATTATCCTACAGTAGTTTCTTATATGTCTTCTCTGTATATAAATGTCTCTTCTATCAAGCATATAAAAAAAAGATATGCCTATTATTGCATTGTAGTTACTGTTATGCAAAAAAAATCGATAAATGTGTTAATTCTAAATACACAATATTAAATATAATATAGCAATCTGCTATCCAAGATAACATTGGATCCAAAAATATTTTGCACATACACACACAAACTGTGGTATTTCAGGTACAAAACAATAGAAAATAATAAATTTGATAATAGAGACGTATAGAAATACTTTGAGACGTATAGAAATACTTTGAGACTGTATATAAGTTGTTCTTTATTCATAAATAAAAAGTGTCCCTTTTTATAAGAAAACACAATCTGCTCTTGTCATTACGTCTTAGTTTCTTAAGGCTTTCTTCCTTTACTATATTTGGTTATTAGAGTGTATTTACTGCTTAACTAGTGTCGGTGTTACAATTATGACATCAAGTCATAAATCGTACTTCTTTAGCTCTTAGCTATTCTTTTCTCTTTTATACTAGAGCTTTAGGACTTCCTACTAAATTAGCTCCATATCGATCTGACACATTTTACCTGGCAGTATGATATAATTATCTTAACAATCTTTAAGATATTATCTACAGTACTAAGTGTAATAATTATTGGGCTGATTACTTAATTGTTTATATATATTTTATACTGACAAGATGATAGCTACTACGCTATCCCAATATGAATATGTTCTTATATGTGATAAATCCAACATCCGAGTGTCTGGATCACCACACTACTGGCACACCATTGTATTCTTTAAGCAGAATAAACATGCACTAAGGCAAGTGGCCACCTTT